TAGTATTCTTGAATTTGAATCATTTGTTTGAAGGAATCTGTCGAGATTTATGGATGGTCCATCTGTAATTTGCTCATCGTCACTGTCAAAGGATGTTAATGGCTCTGGAACTTGATCTTTGGGTAAAAAATGGGTTGAATAGTCTTGGCTCTGAATTTACTTGATTGTTGTACCTGATTTCAAAATTTTCATCGTCATTTTTCAAGTTCACAGTATGAGGGATGAAACCATAGTTTTTTCTTCTGTAATACCATTTTCTTATTAAGGGTGTCTTGAAATGGTGTGGTCAATTGCTTCACTGGATGAGGAATGTTTATCCAAGCAATGGATACACAGGAAATCTAGCTAGTTATTCTTCTGTAAATAAATCTTCATGATAAGTATAGCTAAGTATAGTTTAGCATAGTTTATGATAGCATCTATTTGTTAGCGTTCTGAATCCAAATGATACATGTTGGCATCCGTTTTATACATATACGTTTAGTAATTGTTTACGTTTACGAAATGTTGTTTAGATATCTTCTCTATTACAGGAATGTAGTTGCTGAAACTTTCCTATATTGTCATACTATATAAATTGTATATAGATGCAATATTTCAAGACTCAATGTTAAGTAGGGAAATCACTAACCTCGATTTGCTGTTATATTTTTGCAATGACCCCTTTCCCTATAATGTACGCGAGCACCTACGATAAATTACATGTACATGACCGCATCCACATATTCCGTCTTGCCACAGTGTTCTATTAGGATGGGTTCAGGTGCCATGAATATATATCATTTTGAAAATTGGAAGCAAGAACTTTGTTTTGGAGGCCATGTTTTTTGACAGTCAAGACAGGAAATAGATCTCAAAATGAAAACAGGATTAATAGTCAGACACCCAGGCCTCTCGGTGACAGGTCATCTCAACCCAGTCCAACTCAACCCCAAGTCAAATCAACCCCAGTAAAACTCAACCCTATTCATTTCTGCAATGTCTAATTTAATTTTTTATGATGAATAATTTAAGTCATTCATTTCTGAAAATATAGCATTTTGCATGATACTTTGAATAAAAAGTAAAAGTATTCCAAAACAAAACGGTTAAACTCAAGGATAATTCATCGAGTTGTCACTATTATTAAATTTAAGACATCTTTTGAAATCAAATTTTAGATAATTTAGAAATAATTAACTATGTAATATAACTTTTTATTTATATGAACATGCTTTAACAAAATCATTAACATTTAGTAATACACTGAAAGCATAGACGTAGCAAGAAGGGGTGCGCACACACCCTCCCTCTTGAAGGAAGTTGCATCATTATTTGTAAAAACATCTCTTTTTTTGGCTCGCTTATGCCACGATTGGCACCCCCTGACTGAAAACCTGATTTTTGGGGCGATCGCAAACCTCCTGACTGAAAGCTGGCTATGTCCCTGGAAAGCAATGGTCATGTTCCAGTTTTCTAAATAATCACGAGTGTCAACCTCATAGGGATTACAACAAAAACAAACGTATTAGCAAGATTAATAATAAAATGACCCATGTTTTAATCCTATTAGCACCATGTTGACATTTTGGAGATAAACACATTATTAACTATAATCTAAAAAGGCAGTGGTCTAAGAATGAAAATCACAAACTGAATCATCAGAATTATTTTTATGAAATAGACTTTCTTATAAGTTTATCAATATATAGAAATATAGGGGTTGAGTTTTACAGGGTTGAGTTGACTTGGGGTTGAGTTTTACTGGGGTTGACTTGACTTGAGGTTGAGTTGACTTGGGGTTGAGTTTTAATGGGTTGAATTGATTTGGGGTTGAGATGACCAGGAAGCTGCCTCTCTATCGTTTCAGAAAATTTACCCAACGTATCGGTCTCTGTTAATTTATGGCATCCATACTTTTTTGAAAGGTAACACTTTGAGGTTCAATTTTCTGCCAGATGCCCTTGCAAACTCTCATTGGTTGCTCTGTATTGTAGCATTCCGTTACCATGGTTACGCATCTATAGACATCTTACCTTGGAATTTTGAATCATTTGTAGCTTTGTCATTACTCTGTCTATAGAAATGATATTGGTATCAAATTAAACCTTAATCAATTTCCCATATGATTACAATATTCAATTATGCTAATTAGCACATTTGCATAAATCTATTTTTGGGTCAGCATTTTCAAGTACAGCAATGTATCTTAAAGCTGAAGCCCTACGGTAGAATTTTTGCAATGTTATGACTTTTATTCTATGAGCAGAAGGTTTAAGCAACATAAAAATGAAAACAGATTCAAAATTGGATCAAAACTAACATAGTTATTAAGCTTTCTAGGCAGCTACCATGAACATTATCAACAATTCTTACCTTAGAATCGAAATGTTTTGTAGCTTTGTCATTATTTAGTCTATAGAGGAGATCTTGGTATCAAATTGATCCGAATTGAATAACCGGTATGGTAACGATATTCAATTATGCAAATTAGCTAATTATGATATCATTATGATGTCATCAATCTATTTTTGGTTCAGAACTTCCAAGTATAGCAACATATTTATTAGATCCGAGGTTGTATGGCGTAGTTTCTGCATAGTTTGTCATTTACGCTATGAGTGGAAGAGGTGTGAGCAACATAAAAATGATTCAAATAAAATTGAATAAGTATTAGCAAAGTAATTCAGCGTTTGAGGCAGCTACTATGAACGTTACTATTTGACAATCATAAATAAAACACTAAAATAACAAATATGAAACAAAGCTGATTCAAGCTCATTGAGTGAAAATATATACTTTCCATGTCACTGAATTCGTTGGTCTATAGAAATGATACAGGTATTTGTAATTTTGACTATCATTGACAGGGGTCAAAACAGTTTTTTGCTTCATAGGCGTCAATCTATTGAAAAAGACAAAATATCATCAATGGTCAAACATTGATATTTGTGCTGAGATTCAAGCAGTGAACATCTACATGACCTGTTTATACAAATTGATGACGTTATATCACCAAATATATGTCCTTGCTGTTTGTCACCACCAAAAGCGATGAAAAATATATAGTTTCCATGTCATTGAATTAGTTGGTCGATAGAAATGATACAGGTATTTGTAATTTTGACTATCATTGACAGGGGTCAAAACAGTTTTTTGCTTCATAGGCGTCAATCTATTTAAAAAGACAAAATATCATCAATGGTCAAACATTGATATTTGTGCTGAGATTCAAGCAGTGAACATCTACATGACCTGTTTATACAAATTGATGACGTTATATCACAAAAGGTATGTCATTGCTATTTGTCACCACCAAAGGCGATGAAAAATATATAGTTTCCATGTCATTGAATTAGTTGGTCGATAGGAATGATACAGGTATTTGTAATTTTGACTATCATTGACAGGGGTCAAAACAGTTTTTTGATTCATAGGCGTCAATCTATTTAAAAAGGCGAAACATATGACTGCATGGTGAAACATAAAGATTTGAGCTACGATTCAAACAGTGAACATCTACATGAATTTTTAAACTGATTTGTTTCATAAGCGTCAATCTATTTAAAAAGACAAATATCATGAATGGTCAAACATTAATATTTCAAAATCAAATGAAAAATGCTCAGAATTGTAAAGAACTGCATGGTTTTGAAAGAATTTTTGGCTCGGGGAACCCGGGGACCCCCCCCCCCCCCCCCCCCTCTGACCACGGGCCTGACAATACTGCACATTATTTTGGTGTGGTGTATCTAGCATTGATATCTATAGGTAGCTATACAGTAATGGTCATGAAAGCCCAAGTGCTAAAAGGGGAAGCCAAGCAGCATTTGAAAACACCATCAAAGAGAAGAAGCAGCATTAAGAAAAACAAATCCCCCAATATCCCAAACTGTCTTTTAACTCAAACAATGTCAGACATTCATGTAATATTTCAGCCATGGTGAGATTAGTGATGTATAATTTGTATACATTTGTCCAAAATAAATATATTACAAACTTTCATTATCAATTGCTATCATACAATTTAAACAATTTAAAGATAGATATGTTTAGATAAGTCATCCATATTCCATCTACCCCGCTATCTCAAAGCTCTTCGGGCTACATGTTCAAAAATCTATATTTTTCATCAGTGGATGAAAGGGTCGGGGATGGCAAGGCAAATATCTTTGACAATGACCAATTACAGGCAGTCATATTTTTAAAAGTAAAAACCCGTGGTCCAGCACATTTTGTATCATTATCATACGTATCTGTCACAGGGTCGGGTTCTCATTTAAATTATACCACGATAGAACAACACTGCCATATAAATCACAAAACCGAACAGAAAGTTAAGACACAGGTTTAGAAGATCTGATTATAACAAACCATGTGAACTAAACATAAATTAATATGAAAAGTTAAAAGGTTTGAATTTATAAAATCTAAATGAATGTTTACCTTAGACATTAATTCACCTGTGACCACATCTACACCAGTACATGTTTGTAATATAACTAAGTGTGCATGAGGAAGTAAACTGACAATAATTGGCTAAGGTCAACACTGAGTACACAAGTAATTAACTAACAATTAAAAAGATTTAAAGGACATATGTGTATTATATTACACTGACTTAAAGGACTTGTGTCAATATTGTGACAGTATCATTCTTGGCCCACGTTCTGTACCCCCAAGATCTCAATTCTGTAAGTGATGCATGTGCCATTTAAAGTGAAACAAAAATGATGTTTTTGTTTATCTTACGTGTTTTTATCTGGGGTGTTTCATTAATGTGATTCACCTTGAGATTCTGTAATAAACCGTCTTCAATCATACAAATGAGAGAAAATTAAGTTCAGAGAACTGTGTAATTGAGTAAATTGACAATAAATGATGCATACATATATTTATGCGAGGCGTCACCTTATTAGACAGTCATGCACTATGCATAATTGCGTTTTAATACTGTAATAAATAGTTCATTTATGAGAAATGGGATATATTTAACTTCCTTGTCAAAAATTTACATGATCGATCTAACAATTTAATGCATGTGCTATGATTTAATGTAGACAAACCAAAGAAGTAATTGTCTAAAGCTTTAGTTCTACTTCGATTTTATTATCTTGTTGATAACCTTTTCGTACGGCAGGAGTCGTATTACTAAAACAATAGCATCCCATTATGCTGGTCAAGTGTCACGTTTTATCTAATTGAAAAATCAATTGTAAAAAAACTGTCTATAAAACCAGCTGGCATAGAGAGTATTATGGCAAAAGAATCGACACGGAGGGACAAACAGCATGAATTTTCTCACAACAGTAAGTACATGTATATAATTTGATTTGCAGTATGGTTTGAAATATAATCTACACATTTTTTATTTCCATGATTTTCCGGGTGGTATTGTACTTTTTGGAATAAATAAATATTGTATTATTTTCAGTATATAGGACAATTTACGATAATTGATATTTCAAAAAATACAAAATTCGATAATTAAAATATTCATATAGGGAATTGCAGAGGAAACATATTATATTTTATAAATTCGTAAGCGGCATCATTGGAACTATATTGGTATTTCGAAACCTGAGCGATTTTCAAAGAAATAAAAAATTAACAAGTTCTCGTTAATCGTTCAATAAGTCTGGTTTAATTTCATATAAGATATTATTTATCACATTTGTGTGTCAAACAAACAATAAACATGTTTCTTTGGATATTAGTATTGAATTGTAAAAATAAAAATGTAAATAGAGTCAACATTATCGTTTGAAATTATTAGCCGCAAATTATTTTGAACGACCCCTATGTCAAAAGCGATAACTTAAGAAATGGGCAAGATACGTTCATACACTTTTACATGTAAAGTTCTTCTCTGATGCCCTCACAAATAAATAAAACTGTAATAATTTTCTAGGACAACCAAAGGAGAGGACTTAGAATAGGCGAAAGCCTCTTGTCCGATCCATTTCGTCAAATTGTATAAATATAATGAATGTAAAACTTATAGACGAATAAAATATTTTTAATATAAAAAAAAAAATTGGTTTTTCCAGAAAAGGTGTCTAATAATCATGAATTCTCCAATACATATCTGTTTTGGAGGATACATTTATATTAGACTCCATTGATCATTCCAAGAGTACCCCTTTTACTATGACATGGCCTACTTTATAACATCATACATTATAAATAATGTTGAAAAGCAAAATATTTAGTCATTATCACTCTTTTATATACTTCTCCTCCTACGAAGAAATGTAAAAGAGAAGGATTGAAAAGTAGAGCTTTTTAGAAGTTTCTAACTTTTTTATTCTGTAAGTGATCATCATGGAATTTAGAGACATTTTTAAGAATGAGGTGGATATTGACATCCTGAAATATTGTATTTGTATTATCAAAACGTTCGTTTCTACAATGTTTTTTGTGAAGCAATGGAATTCTATTTTCTTTTTTTAACCGTTACCTTTTGCTTAATAAAATTAAAACTTAGTACTGTACGAACAAAATAAAATGTGTCTAAGCTAGATGATGAAGTAAAGTCTTCGTTTTCGTAAAGAAACATTTGCGCATTCCACCAGAAGTATATTTTAAGATTTTTTTAGAATTGGTTCCACTATTCTGGCCATTCTCGTTAGTAGGAGAAATATGTTACTGAGCAAACCTAGAACCTAACCAATATAGTGATGAATATGGCTTTTTAAAAAGGAGACTAAATTTGGTTTTTGTAGCTTTTGATTACGTCTAATCTAAAAGAGGTTTTTCGAAATGACCATCATGATTTTAAGTTACTGGTGTTATTTCTTTTTCCAAATAACACGCACTCACATTTTTCTGAAGTCTTTCTTTTATTTATATTACTCAGGCCCTTAGCCAGGCTGTGTGTGGGGGGGATTGGGGGCTCGTGTGATCTTGAGCGATATTCTTTCTATTTGACCTTCAAGATTTGACCTTCAAGATTTGACCTTCGGTGACCATTTCAAGGTCAAAAAGGTCAAAAAATATTTTTTCAAATTGACCATCTACAAGTTATCAGAAGTTCAAATATGACTTTAGATTTGATATTCGACCTCCATTGACCTTCTCAAGGTCAAAAGGGTATTTTTTAAACTTGCTTCAAATTGACCAATTCTTTTTTCAAAATCATCTAGACTAGAAGTTCTCAAAAGTTTAAATCTGACAATAGATTTGACCTTCAATGACATTCTCAAGGTCAAAGAAATATATGACCTTCTGAAGGTCTAAAAGGTCTGGCATGGGAATTTTTGTTTGATGTGTGGGCAGGGGGATGGGTTCGAGCCCCCCCCCCCCCCATTTACTAAAAGCTGGCTACGTTGCTCATATTGCATGTGAAGTATTAAAGATTGCAATGGATGCAATCATTTTCATTGGAATCGATATAAAAGTATTTTGGCACTTACAATGACTAAGATGTGCAAGCAACATTTATCATTTCGAGTAAAGGCCAAACATTCATCATAGGGAACGACAAACGGCATTAAAAATATAATATCATGAAAAAAAACACAAAGCGTGGGCAATGAGGGAATGAGAAACATCATTCAAAGTTGTATGGTTATGTGTCGGTCATGGAAATAAAAAGAAAGCATAGCATGTTGAATAGAAATGTAAAGGTGACATACACCGCTATTCCCACAAAATCATGATCATATGATCATATGTGAAGCTGAGAGTGAAATATATTGTTTCTTGGTTTGGCAACGACTCATCCCTTGCTGTAATTTAAATATTAAAATAAAAAATACGAATACAACTAACTCTTGATTGAACGTTTATATTTCACGTAATTTTAAAGTCATTTTGTATCCTCCAACACATGCTTAATAAAGTTTTACAAAGACAATTCAAATAATTCAAAAATTAAATAATGACAATCTAAACACTTTTATTAAGAACTTTCATTTGTCAAAATAATAATCTAAAAATATTTTTTCCCAAAGATGATATTTTAATGTTTGGAGGATACAAAATATTGGACAGCTTAATCTAGACAATTTGAATTCACGACAGAAATACCTACACTCAATCATATATCTCCATTGTCTGCAATCGAAGATATGTTATCAAAATGTACCTTCTGGCATAGCTTCACCAAAATAAGGCATCAATAGTGTATATTAGTATGGCCGATGTGTTGGAGGATACAAATATTTGACAAATTGTATACATATAGTAAACCATTCTTAATTATGTGACTAATCGATACATTTTAGGTTAAGCAATCCGAGTTTATATTTGCCGAAAGAATAAAATATTTCTTAATTGTCTAAAAATCCATCACTAAAGTGATATTTTTAAAAAAGATAAGCAATGTTCCAAACAGTTACCTTGTGGTAATGATTGCTTAAAGTCTGGTCGACAAAAATAACACATTGCATGTCCATGAAATCAACATATATGTCGCAGTCTCTAGTACAACACCAGATTTTTAAAATATCAATTATCGTAAATTGTCCCACATGAAGCTTTTGAATTTTAAATGACGAATCCCATTTTACCTATAGCCCCCCCCCCCCAAAAAAAAGGCAAAGAATACAAGGTTTAACAAAAATTGATACGTTTCTTCAGGTTCGACAAAGTTATAGGTCTTTCAAGTCAAAATTGTTTTTCAAAAAACCTCTCCCATTGAAATAACACAGGAGGCGAAAAATGATTTTCAAATATGACTTTGAAGCTCTGTAACTTCAGTATTTATCAAGTAAACTAAAGACTTAGTGTACAAAAAAAGTTGAACATTTCAATTTTCTACATAAAAAGATTTGTTGCTGAATCTTTTACTGAATAGATATCCAGATTTCTGATTTGCCCCGAACCCACCATTTCTCATTGGTGTACATGGAAATGACGATTTTCAAAAAATCTTCTTTATCAGCAATTTTCGACCTATTGTAATTGAGGACAAAAAGGCGAATATTTGGAGGTATTGGAAGTAAAGTCAAATTACGTTTCCATCAAAATTATAAGTTATCTCATCCCAGGTTAAGTAAATAAAAATTCAAAGGTAAAGCGACTTTAACACGTAGTTCAATGGGGAAGATAAGGTTGCCAAACTTATGGAGGGAAGTGTATGTTTATGTTGATAAATAAGTAGATACAGCCAGCTGTTATTTCACTGATCATGCATGATACTTGATATCTGATGTTGTTCACCCGCAATATATAGAGATTATCCTATATGAGGACCTGGATATTGGGATTATCCCGAGGCCAATATAATATATCTGCCCGAGGGCCGTAGGTCCCGAGGGTAGATATATCATATTGGCCAAGGGATAATCCCAATATCCTGAACCGACTATAGGATGATCTGTTTATCCCATACCAATCACATTGTTCAATTGGCCAAGGTTCAGAAACTTTGCAACAAACCGTGGAATTATTTTAAAATATTCATGTCCAGTTTTGTATTCTTGTCCGTAGCCGGATTTTCCTGTTCAAATCTTTGAATATTAACGGGGTATACTGTTCCTTCCCTTTTTTAAAGCATCAAACAGACCGCGATTGTCTGCGTTCTTCTCCATTGTCGTTTACAGTATGCGAACGTTACAAAAAAGAACCGATACGGGAACAGCGATTATGACGTAGCGGGCGATATACTATATCTGCCCGCTCGGAGCGGGACGTAAAGCTATATCTGCCCGCTGATGAAAATATAAGTTTTTACAAACCGGCTTTATGTACCCGTAACACCTCCAAGTATGGGATAAACAGTCTTATCCTATGCCAAGTAGAGTTTAGAGAGATAAGTTGGAAAGATATATCCCGTATCCCGATTTTGAGGTTTCCATATCCAGAACCTCCATATCTGCCGCCATATCTCCCGCTCCAGGGTATATCTTCCCGCTTTGAAAAAAATTTGAAAAACAATTTTGAAAAAATTGAAAAAAAATTGGAAAAATGTTGAAATAATATATGGGTATATGATGACTCGTGCGTCCCTACGGTCCCCGAGGTAGATATATCCCTTTGGATAGACCCATATTCAAAACTCCCAGCACATAAGCCGTATGTATCACCGCCTGTAATGTTCCGTAGATTGCTTCGAAAACCGAAGGGAAACAGAAGAGGGTAAAAGGTAAAATTAAACGGCTAAAGAAATTAAATGTATTGTAACGGAATTTTAAATGTAAAATTTTTGATTTTTGATAAAGTGCTGTGTTTTTGTATATAAGGCAATTATTACACTTGGAAAGTAATTTCCTATTGAGATTATTAAGATTTATAAATGTAGTATCATTTGCAGCACTTAAATTTTACTTACAGAGGTGAAATAGTTCGCATATTTTATTTATTTAATCAAGATTTTGTTTATGTTGATCGGGCAGTCTTATCTGGCCGTCTAATTTGTAGTTGATCGGTAGTCTAACATGGCAGCTTTATTATTTTACTTCCTGCTTTTGATTCGATGGAATCGAAGTAAAATTAGACTAGATAGTGATTAATTACTGTTATATTTCTTGAGTCAATATTATAATCTTGCTGTATGATCAATATTGAAGCGAAATATGGCGTAAGTAAGCTGTAATTCACAGTTGAAATCTTGTACGAAAATCGATGACGTCATGGGGCCTATATAACTATCTCGCTGTTGAAGGCTCGTCAGTGCGATGCCAGATGTTGTCGAGGAAGGACCTCCAGAGCGTAATTTCGGGAAACAGCTAAAATCTTCTAAGTTTTATAGAACTTAGTTGATTTTGTGGTCTTGAAGCTATACGTTTGCAGTATACACATGAAGATAGAAGCTGTACCTTAGTAAAATACATCTGATGAGCCAAGCTATACGTTTGCAGTATACAAGGGCAGATTGAGGAAACTAAGTGTGCGGAACTTAGTTTATTTTGGAACTTGGATTTTGGGGAAACTTTGATGTAGCTAAGTGTGTGAAACTTAGTTTATTTACCGCACTGGAAGTAAGGGAGATCTACAAGACTGGACAGAACTTCAACAGGGTGAAGCTATCCCCAGCGCAAAGCAGTAGACGTATTGTCCAGCCTTCATAGACTGAGAGGAAATGCTGACATAACTTGTGTGTGAGAAACAAGCTATTTTGATCATCAAGGAACTTAGACGATTAACAACATTATTGGACTTAGTCAGTATTTGGTGAAACATTATTTTGGACTTTGTTATTTTTGGAGATAGAAATATTTAACTTAGAATATTTTAGCATCAGTATAACTTAGTATGAAATTAACTTAGTCAATATTTGGTGAAATATTATTTTGGACTTTGTTGTTTTTGGAAAGAGAAATATTGAACTTAGAATATTTCAATATCAGTATCACTTAACATTAAATGAACTTAGTCATTTTAGAGGACAAATATTTTCACATGTTATATTTTTGCATATGTCGTTGTGTGCATGCTATATTTGTAGGTAGCCTTATTATTTAATTGTGAAGGAAGCAGGCTACATGGACTTAGCAGTTGATGCCGTGTATTAGATGTCCTTGGACTTGGTAGTTTGAAGATTGTGATAGTTTGACTTATACATCTACAGAGAAGAGGTTCTGGGACTTAGCAGTTTATTCAACGCGATATTTTGACTTTGATGATTTTGTGTCATTGAAGTTAGAATATACATCTACAGAGAAGAGGTTCCAGAACTTAGCAGTTTATTCAACGAGATATTTTGACTTTGATGATTTTTGGTCATTGAAGTTAGAATATACATCTACAGAGAGGACGTTCCAGGACTTAGCAGATTATCAAGCGAGATATTTTGACTTTGGTGATTTCGCATCATTGAAGTTAGAATATACATCTACAGAGATAGACGTTATAGGACTTAGCAGATTATCCAGCGAGATATTTTGACTTTGATGATCTTGTATCATTGAAGTTAGAATATACATCTACATAGAGGAGGATCCAGGAGATAGCCGTTTACAGAGAAATAGTTTGACTTAGATTATTTCACATAATCAAAGTTGAATTATACTACAACACATTGAGGAGGATTCAGGAGATAGTCGTTTCCAGACTTGATAGTTTGACTTAGATTATTTCACATAATCAAAGTTGAATTATACTACAACACATAGAGGAGGATCCAGGAGATAGCCGTTTACAGAGAAATAGTTTGACTTAGATTATTTCACATAATCAAAGTTGAATTATACTACAACCCAGAGAGGAGGATCCAGGAGATAGCCATTTACAGAGCCGATAGTTTGACTTAGATTATTTTACCGAGCCGATATTCGACTTGATGATTTCACATTATCAAAGCTGAATTGTACTACAATACATTGAAGAGGATCCAGGAGATTACTATTTCAGGTTCAAGTTACAAGTACAATACAAGACGTACAAGTATTACAACATATATGAACTTTTAATATTGGAGATACAACAGTGGTATATAGTGATCATCAACTCTAGTTTATATGGACTCTGGATATTGTGTTATTAGTGATAAATATTAGCTTATATGGACTTTTGAGTTGTGAGTTTTGAGAGAGATATTAAAATCGTAACACTCTTACAATTAGACTTGAAATTTAATGTACATCTTTATTTGGGCTTATAAACGCCACAATATACTGTTTTATATTTTATATTTAATTGTATATGTCTGTTTAATTCTTTAGGGACAATCGCACATTTAACGTGTGCCGTGTAACTCACCAAGTAAACACCGTTTACTAAACAGTGGGCCTATTATTAGCCACGCTACCACATTTATCCACAAAAATAGGCCAAACTGTTACAGTATTTTCATTTGATGTTTATTTCACATTTTATGACTATAGGCCTACATTTACATTTCTAATCAACAAATGGGAAGATATGGACACATATGACACAAGGAGTGTCGAAAAGACGCATTACATGCTTTTAATATTGCTTTACTCCAACCAGATACAGTGTACTTAACCGTAAAGATAACAAGTTGTACTATATATACAGAATTTTTGTGTATCTAATTTTGACTTATTAAGATATTGAACTTCCCAATAAAAACTAAAAGCCCAAAAAAGTTTGTGTTTTGAACATATGTTATTGAAATGAAAATGAGTTTTAAGTTGAATCAGTGGTCTAATTATTTTATTGATAAATTGTATTTTCAAAGTGTGTATCAATAAATGCCTCGATATGTTGGTTATTTCTTGCAGATCGTGCTGGCTATGGTGATTTCAATCACAAGATCACAAACTGTTTGTACCGGTTCGGATGGGGATCACCCTATAGACGATGTATGGACGGAAACCATGAATCCACCTGGCATTGATGGAACGTGTCACTGTGATGAATATAAAGACCACTGGATAGACATTGGGGATTGCCCTGGGTCCGCTCGTCAATGTGACGCTGCTACCAAATATTGCGTTTGGAAAGGTTTGATATTTGAGCTACAAAGAAATTGTTGATGATTATGGTTGACTATGAATGGAGACTTAGATTGAATCTAATAAGCATCGCTCTCGTACTCCCTCGATTAAAATGGATTCATCCTTCTCAAAAGTACTTCACTGCTCTTTCAATTCAAGAATGAACGGGTAAAGTACTTCACTGCTCTTTCAATTCAAAAATGAACGGGTTCTCATCCGATAAGATGTTGTCAGTTGTTGCAATATTGGGTATATGTACACGAGTGGGCCATCGTATCGTTACCATTTTTGTAATGGTTGTTACGCGGTAAACAAGATACAAATATATGTCATATTCCGCAACGAATATGGCATATTCACTTGTGGTGTATGACAGTATGGCATACACAGTAACCAATGAGAACATGATACGGACGTACGCAATTGCAATTGTCAATTGCATTGATTGAAGGAACGAGTTAAAGTTTATAAATGATCATAATGATTACTGAATCAGCAGTACGTACAGTGTATCGAATATATCAACTTATGCAGAAGTATCACTAACCAATCTCACGTAATAAACTTACTCAATCAATCCAGGATTCATACATTTGAACTCGACGCACTAACTGTACATGTATTGGTAATTTTTTTTTATAATAAATACTCTTTATTTCTTAAAATCACAAATAAATTTACATTGTTAATCAACGCGTAATCGCCCAGAAAGGGCATTTCTACTGCCGCTTTAAGGATATACCAGTGTAACCTCCGAAAAAATCGACCATTTTCAATCTCAACGAAATTAGGTTTTTATTATAGACCTAGATGTAGCGATTCGAAAAATGTAATAAAAAAGGTAGGTCAACGGATTAGTTTTTTCATGAGAAGCTTCTGAAAATAGGTGTGACGTTATCATCATTTGAATATTTGAGGCGCCATTGATTCCAAAGCAAAAAAACATATTTTCCTATATTTCGTCGATAAAATGATGATTTAGGGAGTATTGACGATTTTTTCGAGCCAAGATAAACTTCCTTTATACATAATTACATTGGTTCGAATATTGGTACACTCAGGACATTTTTTCTTACTTTTTTCACTTAAAGTGTAACCCCTACCCCAACAATATTTGTGAATTTTTGTAACGTTTTTCCATTAAAAACATATCTTTTTCATATTCGCATTTTGACACGTTTTGAATCGAAAATTACACAAATTTCCAATGGATTGTGGTATTTTTTTTATTTGCTTATTCTAAAAAAGGTGTTCTCGTGTTTATTTTGATATAAAAAAAACATAGGGTCAACGGTCTGTTTTACGCTTGAAAATGCCGTTGAAGATTGGTGGGCTTTAACAATGATACAAAAGCCACTGGTCAATTCGCGTCATAATTTAACTAAATATATGACGTCTTTCTCAAGAATTAACAAACTCGACTGCTCACAAAAACATAAACCAGCTAAGTCCACATGATAAACATCATTCCAAAATATTATAAATTTTGAGGGCTAGATGCCCCAGTAAGACATTCATTCAATAAATGATTATTTAAAATGGCTAATAATTGCCATATTTGACTCCTATTCTAATATGCTAATATTTCTGTTCATTTTTCGGGAAAGGATAACGTTACATTTGAGGTTAACAATTGTCAACATGTCCTGTCTTAATGAACTGCCTTCACAAGTATAACCTCATAGATCAGGCATGAATGATTTCGCTCGTGATATATAGCATGCGTGCTTTTTGATGATTTTCGGGTGGGGTTGTACATTCCCTGTGTGTTCCTCACCCCACGGTCCCCACTTATGTAAAGCTGTCGGATTTGAGCAAGATACGTCTACTGAATGTAGTACACGAATAATGTGTTTTTGTGAACGGCTATGGACGTTTTTCGCATTGTATCCGGCATGTCCGATCATGGTCGTTAATACTCACTGGGAAAATATTTTTAACTGGTAAATATAATTATAAAAAATATAGAATAATAACATAAATCGAACAAAGGTTTGAATGGCTTGTTTCACATGTTTGATGGTATTTGTTTTGACAGAAAGGAACAACGAAACAAAGGTAATGATTTCAATAGAAATACATATAAATGAATGTTCGTGTCACTTTAAGTGTCCGTGGTTCATGTAATAAGTACCTGTATACATGAATAATAGAAATTCCAAAATAGAATACTGTATTTTACAGTTGACTTTTGATATTAAATATCCCTGGTCAATACATAGGCTATAGACTATAACTTAATGAAAACTCATACAGACTGTAGCGAAATAAGAAGCAAGTTACACATTAGATTTGTCGTGTTTGTAATACATGGGACATACACATATACTGCTGGGATAAACGAAAGAAACGGACACGAAACTGGAATGAAACAAGAATATACAAAAAATACTGAATTATTTGGAAGAATTGATGACGTATAGTTCATTTGTTTGTTTATTTGTTGATGGGGCAATATGTCACTGACGTCACAGATAATGGTATCATATTCCGAGAATCCATTAACAAAAGTGTTATATGACGTCATGATAAAACAACATTGAAAATGAGAATCCCTTAGTTGCTATGGATTACTATGTCGTAAAGCGTCATATATCGTCATTCTGCGTCCTTGATATTTAATACAGAACACTTGTCAAATGTGAAGTTAACAAACGAGCTTTTCATAGAGGTGTTAATTTTCTATTTCTGTAATTTAAAAATATATCACCATTGTCGTAAGGGTTACACTGGTATATCCTTAAGTGAATTTAAATTACAATATGATAACATTTAGTCAAAGTCATAGTTAGTATAAGAAAAATATAGAATTTAAATACAATCTGTTTTTCTACCTGTATTTTCCCCCCGTTGGTGCCCTGAATTTGAATTACTGTTATCGATTGTTTAATTGTGTTTAATGAAATTTATAACTGCCTTAAAGATTTTGGAATTGTTTTCATTTGTCAGATCCTTGTCGCCAAAAAGTAGGGAATTTGTCTTGTTTTTTAATGTTTTGTATTTAGTTACATCTAAGTTTAGTTCATGTTTAACCACCGCTAGCACATTTGTTTCTCTCAGAGGGCAGGACAAGAGTTTATGTTGTGCTGTCTCTCGAGCTCCACAGTCACAATATGGATCGTCAATGAAAGAGAAATTATTGTCAAAAAGATCGGATTTAAAATATCGATTTACTCTTATCTTATTTAGTACAATTTCTTCTTTTCTATCAAGATTCTGTATGTAGGAGGTTGAAATTGTAGGTTCAATGTTATTAGTGAGGTGATCTTTAAGTTGTTTTTTGGAAAGTGAGAAGCTGTTCGTTTCCTTATGGTCTCTAGGAAGACGGTTCCACAAGGTTATCATTGAGCAAACTGTTCCCGATTTCATTTTTTACTAATTGAGCCTGGTAATTTGTAGTCATTGGTTGTTCTAAGAACTCGCGTCTGAAGTGATTTATATCGTTCAAAAATCCGTGTTACGTAAGATGGTATCAAATTGTTATGAATCTTGAACATAACGCGCAATTTATGTTCATCCCGTCTATTTTGGAGATTACCCAAATTTAATATTTCAAAGTTTTCTGCTTGCACCTTGCATAACACCAGAACAAATAACAGCTGCCCTATAATGTAGCTTGTCTAACTGGTCTAGGCTGGTAGCTGGAGCAGCGTCATAAATGATATCGACAATAGTCCAGATGAGACAGGATAAAGGAAGAGTAAATTTTTTCCAGGTGTTTGGAATTTAATCTATGCTTAAGTGCCATAACTGGATTTAATAATTTTTGAACTTTACCTTCTAGATATTCAATATGGGTTTTGAAAGTTAACTTTTCATCAAGATTAGACCGAGGTGCTCATGATGTTTAATTTGATCTATTGGAGTGTCATCGAAAACAAAGTTTGGATATGTTCTCTCAATTGGTCTATTTGTTTTAAAGATCAATTCGTGACTTTTTTGTGGTGCGAAGGTTGGTCCCCATTTGTTTGGTGATTTCTTGGGTCAACCGGACAAAAAAGTGATGTGTCATCCGCATAGATAAAACATTTTGAGTTTAAGTCGTCTGTTATGTCTTTAAGATATAACAAAAAGAAGATCGGTCCCCATATTGAGCCTTGGGGGACTCCGGAGTTGATTCGACCGACTTTACTCGACCAAGACAATTCATCATAGATCTTAATTTTAATTGTTCTGTTTGTGAGGTAAGATTGAAAAAGGTAGATTAGTGATTTTGGGATACCGTATGATTTTAGTTTCTGAAGAAGTAGTACATGAGGGACTTTGTCGAAGGCTGATTGAATGTCCAAAAATATTGCTCTAACATCAAGACCATTTTCAAAATTTTGAAGAATGTAGTTTGTTATAGCAGTGAGTTGAAGTTGAGTGTTGTGTTCTTTAAGAAATCCAGATTGCATTTCATAAATTAGGTTATTTGATGTCAAGTGGGTCATCAGTTTAGAATTTACTATTTTTTCAAAAAGTTTAGACAATGTACAAAGTAAGGTTACTGGCCGATAATTTTTTATCAGAGGTTTGTCATCTTTTTTATGGATAGGACAAACAACTCCTTCTCTCCATTTTGAAGGAAACGTCTTAGAAATGAGAATCGAATTAAAAAGTTTTGATAATGGAATGGCGAGGGAGTCACTTGCTAATTTTAACATTTCATTTGTGATTAGGTCATGTCCGGCTGATTTTCCACGCTTTAATTCCACTATACTTTCCACAATAATTTGTGGAGAAATTTCAAATTCTAGCATATATAAGTGAGTTCTGCTTCGAGAGGGCCTTTCCATCACAGTTATTTCATTGAAATATTTGGAAACAAAATGTTCGAGAAACAGGTTAGCCTTACCTAGGTTGCTATGTACTGGGGTATTTTTTTCGAGGTCAAACATTGTTGGAAAGGAATTGCAAAAACGTTTACCGAGGAGTTGTTTTATAAGCGATCGCTTGCTAAAACACTTTGGCAGAGAGCTTGTATTTTATTTTGTTCACAATTAAAAGCTCAGATACTATCACAAAATATTAAAGTTACAAAATATAATACGAAATGTAGGCTATATTAATTCAACTTATTGTCAATGCCTTGTCATTCGTAAATGACTATTACAAACATAATTCAGTTTCTGGATCTGACGTTGACACTACAACTTCACCGGAACTGCCAAACATAACTACAACCAAATCTGAGCAAGAGCATGAAGCTACTACACCCGAACTGCCAAACATGGACATCACACCTGAACTGCCAAACATGGAAATCACACCTGAACTGCTATGTTAATGTACGCATCGTGAAAGTGGAAATAAACGAAATAATTAAAAAACGACGTGTCTTTTATTTCCCCGGGGATTATCGTCGGTTAACCGGTTAATAATTTCAATACCGGTAAATGCTCAATTCCGTACCGAAACCGTATAACCGGAATTACCGTCAGCCTTTAGAAATTAATCCATCGCCTCTAACAAACGGATTAGCTTTCAGTGTTAACAAAACTCATATTAAAGAAATTGAATAATTGGGGATTAAACGTTTACTTATCATATTGCTCTGACATACATGTACTGTATGTCAACATGTTATTTACATCAGTTTGTTCTACCATGCACCAATTTGCTCAAAGCGTAATCATCGCTATGTCAGATGAAACATTAGGAATAAATGTAAAATGTGCCCGCTTCTTTATTTTCATTATCAAACAACTAAACATACCGAATATACATTTGCAAATGGAAAACAAAAAATTAATTAAAACCAGTTTTAATTAAAATGGTCCAATTGCAGTAGAAACAAATGTATTACATCATGGACTAATCTGTTGTTTATATCCCCAGTTTATATCTCAGATATATGGATAACAGAAAACGCATGAATTGTGAAATGTGAGAGAATACACGTTTTAATTTTGTTTTAGCATGGCTTAACACCACTTGTATCAGTTAACCTAATATACCTTTCTTATTTACTATCAGCGATTTGCCAGAAGAAATCAGAGCAATACATGTACATCCAATATAATACAGGCTCGGAATAAGTTTTAGCCCAGGGGATCAATTTTCAAAACAAACCAAGGGGTCACACTTGATCATTTTGGCCCTAAATCACTTAACAGTGCTCAGATTGGTAAAAAATGTAGGATTTTGAAAGAATTTTGGCAAGGGGGGGATTTACTTGACCCCCCCCCCCTCCCTGGCCATGGACCTATACCAAATTCGTAATGTATTGATATATTGCAGTTTCGTGTCATAAATGTTTTGTGTTGTTTCTGAAATGATTAAAGGTGTTTGTTTCTGTGTAAGAGGGGGCTTTAAGTGTTGTTTGTTGTAAACTTAATTTGACAGAAAAACAATTGAGTTAAATTGTGAGGAAACCCAATAGAGTTAAAATGTGAGGAAACCCATTGATTAAAAATTAACTTTCCGTTGAGTCAATCAATTAAATCCAAATTTTAACACAATGTTAATCATAACATAAGGGACATTATACAATCAAATAAATATGAAAAACTTAATTTGCAATTTATTTTTCACTTGAAATTAGAACCATTGGCTGTGGAAATAAATCCATTAACTCAAACAAACAGATTATTTATCAGTGTGAACAAAACTCAAATCATGGAAATTGAATAATTAGGGATTAAAGTTTGACTTATTATATTGCTCTGGAATGTCAATACATGTATGTGAATGGTGAAAAACTACATGATTTTGACAGAATTGTTGGCCACGGGGAGGGGGTCCTCAGCTACGGGTCTGTATAAAATGCGTAATGTGTTTATTGAATATTGAGCAGTTCCCTGTCATGACTGTTTTTCCGGTTGGCAAAGTGAATACAGGTGGTTGTTTGTACCTGTGTAAGAGGGGATCGATTTAAATGTTGTTTGCTATAAACTCCTAAACTTAATGTGACAGAGAAACAATGGATTAAAAATGTGAGGAAAACAAATTAATTAAAAATTCAAAAATTAACTTTACAATGAATTAATTGATTGAATCAAAAATTTAACACAATGTTAATCATAACATGAGGGACATTATACAATTAAATATGTATGTAAAAACTTATTTTGCAAATTATTTTTGTGGAATTAAGAGCCATCAGCTGAAGAGATTAATCCATTAACCCTAACAAACAGATTAATTATCAGTATGAATGAAACTCATTTCATAGGAATTGAATAATTAGGGATTAACGGCTCGAAAATAACCGCGTATAATAGGTTTTTGATTGCAAATGCCAACATATTATTTGCTCCTGACAGGAATATTATTCTATATTATTTGGCATTATATGTTGTTCCCTTTAAATAATACACGAATAATATTATTAAATCAAAAATAATTCTTAAAAATACGTATTATATTTTTTTCCGTTATAATAAAAGAAATAACTGCCTATTATACAGGAAAAAATATTCTCTACGATTCTCTCTTAATGCAACTTATTTAGCAGTATATTAAACATTTTATTCTATATTATTTTTACTTTTTTACCAAGTGCGACCAGTAAGATTTGGATGTAATTTCAGAACTGAGAACGCTTTCCGTAACATTATTGTCGTAGTCAAGTTTTTCTGTTTCACTAAATCGTTTACAACGTGTAATTGGGTTTTGTAAAGTTGATAATCAAATTCGTTTTTTGAAATTGTGCATATAATCTTTTTCGAACATTAATTTCATGTTTAATTGTGTCATCAAACCAAGGTCTATCCGATTCTCTTTTCCTCCTGGTTTTATTTGATATATGTTTCTGAAAAATGCTAAACTCGTTGACTTTTTGATCAATGTTTGCATTTCCTTCCGAAATATTTTGAAGGTCGGAGTTACAAATAGCTTCATTCAAAACAGGGCGATTAGCTTTGTCATAGTACCACTTAGTTCGCTTAGTTGACTGTTCCCTGGTTGGACCAGTAGTTAATATCGTTAGAACACAACAATGATCTGAGTTACCGATAGGTGTGAGTACTTTAGTCACTTCAACTAGTCCCGGGGAATCACATATTGAAAGATCAATACATGACATTGAAGTCGATAAATTGGTATGTATTGGTAATCCAGCGTAGTTTTACATTTAGAGTCGATTCTCGCAACCAATCAAATCAAGGCTTTCTGTATCACGTTTTCACCTGTGGTATATGGCATAATCACCTGCGGTATATGGCATATTCTGCAAGTGAGTATGACATATTCCGCAGGTAAGTATCGGGTATTCACTGAAATCAATGTATCACATATTCACTGCAGTATGGCATATTCACCCGTATCACAAATACCGCGCAACCATGAATGTATGCCATATTCCGCGTAACAATGGTGACACATCATATCGATATTTCATGTGGAACAATTAACCCAAACCATTAAATATAAAAACTGAACACGTCAGCTCTTTGTCATTTCATTGTTAGTAGAAATATTTTTAATAAATCACTCATTATTTGAAGACCACAACATAAGGATTATTGTCAATATTTTTTATTCCCAGGTTGTAAGAAATCTGGCAGACCTAGCGAACAATACTACAAACCAGGTTATGTGTATGTCGTCGGTCTGTCTACGTGTACATGTAAGAGCGTAAATGACATGGCAGAACCTCCAGCGAACCAAGGTGATTTGTATCCGGAAGAGTACAACTGGCACTGTGTATCTAGTGGAGGTCCCCCACCTCCACAAACCCGATAATTATATTTTGATGTCATTTAGTCGGAAAATATAGTTAAGACATATATCTTGTCAAATAGCATACTTCCTATTCGAATTTTATCATTGTAACATTAGATACTGCATAGTGTTTGTCTATTATGATAGGGAGTATAACTAGAATTTTGAAATTGAACAAGTTCAATTTCAGACTCCAGATTCAAACTTTTTTAAGCCGAGTCATCCAGAATAAGCTTTCTACACCTATTCCATAACTCATATGTTGAATTTGGAGAACTTTTTGTTGTGACCTACTTTTCGGACGCCATATCTCAAAAACGGTAAGATTTTCAAAAAATGATTTGCCTTTCGGAATTAGCTTTTTTTTCAAGGAACATGATAAAAAACCGGAGCGAAAATATTGAAAGACGACCGAGAAAATTGAAAAAAATTGAAAAAAAATGACAAAGTACTGGATTTGACCTAGTTCTTGACCTTTGACCTAGATAAAAAATTTGACCCCATTTCCCACCAACTAGATATAGGACCTAAACTGACCAATAAGAATAAGAAAAGAGGCAAAAACAATAAACTCCAGATAATTCAAACAAACTGTAAGGAAGGGTAGGAATATACTTAGGCCCCCGTCCGTCAGTCCGTCCGCCCTAGTACCAGTAGACAAATTTCTTCATATTTGAGGGAAAGACATATTATGATAAGTTGCAGGACGGAAAAAATCAAAATGGTCACAGCTTCAAAAATGGCGGGAATTTTTGTGAAAAAATCTTAGTGTTTCATTCCCAACGAAAGTAATACGAGCTACTCTTTAAGACATTTTGGTAGTGTAATCAGCACAGCATATAATATTCCACATATATTCCGTCTTTTTAATCTTGACCCCCAGGGGCCTTGTATGGGAGGTCACGAAAACGGGATTTTTTGTTAATTTTTATATCTCCTTGAGGTATAACCTTATTATAATGAATTTAGAGAAGTTTGCAATTATTCTATCATTTTTTACTTTGGTTCTTGGAAAATACGAAATGGCTACCCTAATGTGGAATTTCGTAATAATTTTGATTTTTCAAATCATTGCTTTATACTGCTTTATACAGCTATTTTTCATGTTATGAGTATTGGTTTATCAATTTATCTTATATATAATGGCTTCTGTGTGGGGAGGGAGAGAGAGAGACATTAGAAATTGTTTCTTTTCACGCTGGACTATGGCTTGGGATGTTTGGGGTTTGTTTTCCTTCTGGGTCGTTTACACTTAAACGTTTTCTCTTTCTTGATGAGCTCTGTAACAAGTTTTGGTCCTTTACCTTTGGACTCGTGCTTACATAGTACTATCTATTCTCAAATTGAAGAAAAACAGTACATTAGCAGCCTTAAGCGGAAATTCGTCACAATCTAGAGTATAGAGACTTGCTTACATCGTCCTACATAAAATCACAAATCTTGAATTGTCTTTATGAGTTGTACTTTTGGACCTCAAAAATGCTTAATTGGTGGAAATTCTAATATATTTCCAATGTCTTCCTTTCATTATCTGTAATCAGGGGTAGAGTAGATGGTAGATATTACTTGTTTTATAAAGATTCATGAAAAGGATTGGTATCGATATGGTGAATTTTTTTAACTCACGTTTCTCTTGAATCAGTCATCAAAAAATTCTAAAAATATTACACATCGCCAATCGCCATCGCCATCGCCAATTTAATGGTCATCCTTTGAATGGTAACATATTATTTGAAAAAAATGTATATACTTTTCTCTATATTGCTTTGGAAAAGTTATCAAACACGTCTTTTGTTCTTGGTATCATATGTTCAGAATGAAATGAAACATCTTTCAGAACCTCATTGGAACAAAACGACATAAACACAACATGTTAAGGTCTCTCAATATTGTAATTGTACAAAGGAAAAGGTTAATTTTAAAAAAGTATCGTGTTAATGGAATAAAAGGTTGATTCTTGATTTTTGAAGGGGTTTTGTTTTAATTTTTAGAATACTTTTTTAAAAGCAACCAAAAATTCCTTTGTATAATTATCATTAATGTTGTATATGCTATTTTGTTCAAACAAGGTTCGGAAAGACATTTTATTTCCTTCTCAAGAATTGGTAGAAAGGAGCAAAACAATTGCACTAAAAACAAATAAAACACACGGTGAACAATATCGCACCCTTGAACAGAAGATAAAGAAGTGTTAATACACAAAAGTGATTTTAGGACGGAAAATCCAAAATGGCCACCTTAACATTTACCAAATGAATCCCTCAAACGGTTTGGCTGGAAACCTGTAGACAAGCCTTGACAGACAAGATTTTAGGACGGAAATCCAAAATTGCCGTCTTAACATTTATCCAGAATGTCGAAAAACTAATCAGTTCTGAACTTTCATAGGTAGAAACATCCCTGAGAATTTCAAATGAATCCTTCAAACGGTTTGGCTGGAAACCTGTAGACAAGCCTTGACAGACAAGATTTTAGGACGGAAAATCCAAAATGGCCGCCTTAACATTTATCCAGAATGTCGAAAAACTAATCAGTTCTAAACTTTTATAGGTAGAAACATCCCTGAGAATTTCAAATGAATCCCTCAAACGGTTTGGCTGGAAACCTGTAGACAAGCCTTGACAGACAAGATTTTAGGACGGAAAATCCAAAATGGCCGCCTTAACATTTACCCAGAATGCCGAAAAACTAATCAGTTCTAAACTTTCATAGGTAGAAACATCCCTGAGAATTTCAAATGAATCCCTCAAACGGTTTGGCTGGAAACCTGTAGACAAGCCTTGACAGACAAGATTTTAGAACGGAAAATCCAAAATGGCCGCCTTAACATTTATCCAGAATGCCGAAAAACTAATCAGTTCTAAACTTTCATAGGTAGAAACATCCCTGAGAATTTCAAATGAATCCCTCAAACGGTTTGGCTGGAAACCTGTAGACAAGATTATTCGGGACGCCCGCCCAACTGATAACAATATGTGTATAGTGTATTCTATCATTTCAATTGATGGTGTTTGATTAAAACGGTCTAGAATGCATCATATCCTTAGATTTTTCTTCAAGTATGCCTTGGATCTTTTAAAAGACACATAGAGTATTACAAAATGTACCATATGGTACAAAACAACTAACTTTTTGATCAATTGATATACATCTAGTGATCCAAAAAACGCTACCCTCTAGTTTTGGAATAATTTTCCTATTCATGGAGGAATCATCGTGGATCCTTGTTTAGATAGAATGTTCAATGCACTAAACATTGCATTACTTGCAAACCATAAACAACCTAGATATACAAAAATATCATGTTTTCTTGGAGGTATGTTCTGAAGCCAAACCACTAAGAATGTAAGTTAGGAAATATGTCTTTCTTAAAATTTATAAGTCAGGCCATCCTATTTGAAAACGGATTCTTAACGGACTACGGCGACGGCGTTTTTAACAATAGTATAGTTTCCGTAGAGCTTTTGAAATCGCCCTAAATCTCGTTTTTCTTGAGATTTTAAGAGATTTACATATTAGACCTCTAATGACTTACATTACCTTCTTTTAAATGGCATCTTTGAATTCAGTGAACTGTTTTCTCCTATATTAGCTTTGATTTACACAGTTATGTAATTTGAATAATTTTAATAATTTTCTATGACAATTTAAAAAAACTTGGGCCAAATCTCCATAGATGCAATACTAAAATTCTTTAAAACCTTGGATTATTTGTATGTCAACCAACATTTGCATATTTAATCACAACATGTACGAGGGAAGATCCAAAAGTTTCCGGCCTAACATAGTTCTAGTTGATGGATTTTCAAAATGATAGTGTCATTTTTCAATGTAGTCTCCCTGTACTTCGATGCACTTGGCCCATCTTCTTGGCAGCATCTCAAGTCCAGTTCTGAAGAAATCAGGAGCATGACCCTCCAACCACTGGTTAACAGCTATCTTGACCTCATCATCATTATCATAGCGTTGCCCTCGTAGAGATTTTTTGAGTTTCCCAAATAGGTAATAGTCACTGGGTGCTTGATCTGGAGAATAGGGTGCGTGCGGTAATAATTCCAGATGGCATTCTTCCGCTGCATCACGAGCAACTTGGCTTGTGTGAACAGGTGCATTGTCCTGTTGATGCAAAACTCCAAGACGGACTTTGTGTGGCCTGGTTTCATCAAGTCTAGCTTTTAAAGTACGCAACAAAGCAGCATAATATTCTCCGTTCATTGTAGTACCTCTTGGAAGGTAGTCTACTAAGATAAGACCTTCACAGTCCCAGAAAATAGTGGCCATCATCTTTTTGTTGGATGGGGTGGTGCGAAACTTCTTTGGGGGTGGAGACCCCATATGTTTCCATTGCATTGACTCATGTTTGGTTGAAGGCTCAAAATGACGCACCCATGTTTCATCACAAGTGACTATTCTCTCCATAAAACCTTGTGGATCAGTGTTATACATGTCCAAAAGCTCTCTTGCAACAGCAACTTGTTTTGTTTTCATGTCCTCTGTGAGCATACGGGGCACCCATCTTGAGCTTAACTTTCGCATGTGTAAATCTTCATGAATTATTCTACAAACGGTACCATATGATAATCCAGTTTCTTCTACAAGTTCACGTATAGATTTCCGCCTATCTTCCAATATTGTTCGATGTACAAGATCAACATTTCTATCTGTAGTGACATCTTTAGGTCTTCCAGAACGTGGTGCATCATCAATTGATTCCCGTCCACGTTTAAATTCAGCCACCCAAAATTTACAGTAGAATAGGAGGGAGCACCTTCCCCATACACATCCTTAAGTCTATCGTAGATTTCCTGCCCCCCATTTTCTTCTTGATATAGAAACTTTATCACAGCTCTATATTCAGCTTTTTCCATTGTGCAGCCACTGTGACCTGACCTCATTATGAATATTCTCAAAATGAGGCTGTGACCCCTAGAGGTTAATCATATGCATAAATTATGTTCATACATAAGCAACATTTGAACTGTGAAGAATGGTTGCTCTCAGACATCGGGAACTATGTTAGGCCGGAAACTTTTGGATCTT